AATAAAATACTTACAGTAAAAAAAGAAGCACTATACTCCCGCTAATTCATGAGAATTATGAATGAAATTATCAAACTACACTTTAAACCAATAAAATACAGGTATGCTATATACTGCAGAATATAGCAATTAAAATGCAGGGTTGAATTTCAGCGTCCAGATTCATGTATTCACTGTCTAGGTATTCTTCTGGGTCAGATTCCCAACTGTTTTCTTCTCTGGTGGTAGTCAAAGTTAGTCTGTGCAGGGGCTGGAGAGATGGCTCAGCGGTTAAGAGCACTGACTGCTCTTCCAGAGGTCCTGAGTTCAATTCCCAGCAACCACATGGTGGCTCACAACCATCTGTTATGAGATCTGGTGCCCTCTTCTGGTGTGCAGATATACATGGAAGCAGAATGTTGTATACATAATAAATAAAATCTTAAGAAAATATAATATAAAAAAAAGTTCCTCCAGCATTAACCCTACAACATTTCTGATGCTATGATAAAATGTCCCAACACACACCAGTTAGAGAGGAACAGATCTGTCTGGTTCACAATTCCAGGTTACAGTTCATCAGTCTAGGGAAAGCCAAGACAACTTCAAGTAGCTGGTCACGCCATATCCACAGTAAAGACACGATAGCCTGTATGCATTCTTGCTTGGTCCTTGGCTTCCTTTCTGTTCTCTTATGTAGCCAGGGTCCAGCCCATGAAATGGCACCACCAACCTTCATAGTTAATCTTCCCACCTTGACTAACCATCAACACAGTCCTGCCCAGGTGTGTCTCCGGTCCAATATGATCTAGAAATTTCCTCACTAAGACTCTGTTTTCAGGTGCCACTAGGTTATGTCAAGCCGACAGTTAAACAGCATAATACCCTTATGTTTAGAAGGTTTTCTAGGATCAGGTGTCATATTAGCCAGGGTGCTGAGAGGAAAGGCACATAGTGCTGTAAAGGGGATGTGATCTGAAGCCAGGTAACATCAGTCCTGGGTTTATCCTCAGGCATTTACCTGAGTTAACCATATCTCTGTGGTTCTGACCTATTGAAAATGCTGGAAGACAAACTCTTCTGTGCCCAGTTTTGAAGATGCAATTGTGAAAACCCTGAAGTTCAGGGACATTGTTTTAATTTTGTACAGCTCACAAGTTTGCACTATGCAGGTGCAGTTGTATCTTGCTCTGCAATGCTACTGAAATCTGTCTTTCTCATCTAGATCACCGTTACAGATGAAGAAGTTAGTAACCCATCCTTTTTAGACCTTGTGAGGACTCCCCAGATGAGGAAATGCACACTGATTCTTATGTTTGCTTGGTGAGTTGACCGGGGCTGCCTTTCAAAGCCGGCGCCAAGTGCACAGTCCAACATTTCCTTCTGTTCTCGGGGCCTGTTCTCTTTTGCATTGCTTCCCTGGTGTCTGCCGGTGTCTTGCAGGTTCACAAGTGCTGTGGTCTATCAAGGACTTGTCATGCGCCTGGGAATTGTTGGCGACAACCTCTACATCGACTTCTTCATCTCGGGGCTTGTGGAGCTGCCTGCAGCTCTCTTGATCCTTCTGACCATTGAACGTCTTGGACGGCGCCTTCCCTTTGCAGCAAGCAATATAGTGGCCGGGGTGGCGTGCCTGGTCACTGCGTTCTTACCAGAAGGTAGTCTTCCTTCACATTCAGTTGGCAGTTCCCAAAGAACTTGACAAAAATGTAATGATTACATATGGCTGAGCAGGTAGGGGGTCACTTGTCTTTGTGAGTGGTGTCATTCCTTCAAAAGCCTGGAACCAGGCAAGCTTGGGTGATGTCATCCTATTTTCTGTTTCATGAATGCAAAGATTGAAGAGACTTTTACCCAGATACCTCTCTGTGCTGAAACATTAGGTTTGTTTATTGACGAAAACAATTGTTTTCGCTAGATCTAGGTCATGGTGATGATGTGATGTGGCTGATATTGTTTAACCTATTTCCCATATCTACCATACTGCAGACACAAAGCTGTATCCCAGATTAGGGACAGAAGGAAGATGTGGTAAATTAGGAGAATTGACATAGGTATGGGGAGGGAGAAGTACTGTGTAGACCCAAGGGAGGAGTTAGAGCTCTTAACTAATTGCTGTTTCTTTCTGTTATTTTCCAAAACCGTGAAAAATTTTGTGAGTTCAGGAACTTAGTCTTGTTTGTTATTGCTGGAAACTGTGTGAGGAAACCAGAGGATGGTCAAGCCCCAGCACGACTATCCCCATAGGATATGGCAGGGCCTTGGTGCTGCCAATGAGCTCCTAGAGAAAGGACTGTGAGCTGCTCGCACCTGTAGCAGTTTGGGGCATGGCAGGAAGAAGAGATGCCAGAGCCTTGCTTGCAGCTGGGGAAATCTGGCTGGGATAGAGGAGGCCGGCTCCTTTCAGAGATCAATATTCTGAGAGCTGGTGGGTGGGTGGGGGTCAGGAGGAGGAAGACAGGATTGCAAAATACTCTAGATGCTCAGTAAACAGCCCAGATGGTCTCTGCCAGAGAACAGAGCTGGGGCTGCAAAGAAGAAGCTATTGGGACTCCCCCAGCAAGGTGTGAGTTGGAGCATGGGAGGCATTTCTTTCTGTATTCTGGGTGTGCAATGAAGTCCTTGCAGGGAGCTGTGTTCTCCACAGTCCCTGTGCCTACAGAGGAAGTGGTCTGTCTTTGAGAATACTCTGGGTCAGGAAAGACACTGCTAATGTTGAAGAGCTCCACGCAGACACACACAAGAGACTTCATTAACATTAGACACTGGTTTATGAATTCCCAAAGCAGCAATTAGACCTTACTTGGGAAAAAATACTACAGAAATGCCAGTCCTCAGAACAGAAAAGGGAAATGATGGGCAGTTCCATTCTGCTGCCATGGCTGACGAAAGCAGAAACTCAGGTTTCCCTCCTTTTATTCAAGTGCATCTGAGTCCCCAAGGGCTGCAGTAATGAATCTCCACCAGCCTTGTGTCTGGACAGTGGACTCCCCACCAGACCGCCCCACCAGGCTGACCTCTAAAAGCACAGTGCAGAGCAACTAAACTAGTAGCATCTCTAGCCTCTCTCTCACCCTCATCATTTCTTGGTGTGTCTCCAATCTTTGTCTCTATCTTTATGTGACACTCTCCCTCTTGATCTCTATTCCCAAATATGATCACATTCCAAGCTTCTGAGTAAATATGAACTCAAAGGAACACAAATAGCCCACTACATAGCATATCTTAAGAGCTACGGAAGCTGGGGCTGGAGAGATAGTTCAGTGGTTAAGAGTACCGGCTGCTCTTCCAAAGGATGCAAGCTCAGTTCTCAGCACCCGCATCAGGCAGCTCCCAACCACTTGTAACTCCAGCTTCAAGGTATCTGATGCCCTCTTCCAGCCTCCACAGACAGACAGGCACACGCATGCACACACACAAATAAAGATAGTTTAAAAAAAAAAAAAGAGCTGTAGACGCTGAATAATAGCCATTCATCAGTATCTATTTAATATTGATTAATTGCTGGCCACTAAACAGGGAAAGGAACAAGAGAAACAATTACTTTCCTCAGAGGCACACAGTTTCAATTAGAGGGTGAAAACTTAAGGATGTTATAAATTCTGTGCTTTGAAATTCTCTCTCTCTCCCTCCCTCTTTCTCTCCTTCTTCCTCCCTCTCTCCTTCTCTCCCCTCTTCCTCCCTCTCCTTCTCTCTCACTTGGTGTGTTGGTGTGTGTGCAGATGCCCGTGTTGATGTGGGTGTTCACAGCCTTGTGCAGACTAGAGGTCAGCATGGATGTCCTTGCTCAACACATTCTGCTTTGTTTCTTGGGACAGGGTCTCTCTCTGGTCAGCAGTTTGCTAAGCTGGCAAGGCTGCTTAGCCAGTGAGTCTCAGGGCTCCCCGTCCCTAGCACTGGGATTTCAAATACTCGAATCCACACTTAACTTTTTCATACGGCTTCTGGGAATCAAACCGTGGTCAGTGCTTTTACAGCCATGAGTCTGCTGTGACTGATGGGCCAGAATAAGTTTCAGATTCCTAAAATTAATTCCATATATGATAGAAGCCCCTCCCTCCACAAGCATGTCTTGCAATTTGGAGGGCTTTTGGCCTTGACTCCTGGGACAGACTGTGAAATTGATGTTAGGAAAGCCTTTCTTCTCAGCTGGACTTGACACCACCTCAGTGCTTGGCTAGAATGCCGAGACAAGCCTTTGGGAGAGGTCAACTCTGAAAATCACTTCTCTAAAAACCTTTCTTTTTATGGTCTGAGAATAAACTTGGGAAAAAGAAATGATCTTCCTGGCTAACTCTTAAGATTCGCTGTCTAGCATACTTGGTCCCCTGGAGAAGGGGAAAGGGTCAAGATCCCCTGAGCAAATTGAGAGCACGGGAAGAGGGGGGAGGGAGCTAAGAGAATGAGAAGGGAAGAAGAGGAAGGATGCAGAGGTCATGAGGGAGCAGAAAGGTTGAGTCAGGGGAAGAATAGAAGAAGAAAGGATATATGATAGGTAGGGTTTTAGTTTAGGGGGGGCGGGGGCAGGGGAGGACGAGAGGGAAAAGGGAACTGGGATTGTCATGTAAAACAATCTTGTTTCTAATTCAAATAAAAAAATCTGAAAAAGAAAAAAAGATTCCCTGTCTAGAAAGCAAACTTCTGAAGTCTGGAAAGAAAGCACTTTCTGTCCACACAGCCACCTGTCATCATCAATTGTGACTACTCAGTATGGCTACAAACCTAGTAGTGGGGGCAAGTCTCCCTCCCAGAATGAGGCTCTCTTTTACTTTTATTCTAAGTGGAAAGTGCATTTATCTGTCTGTCCCAAATTTACGTATCTTTGTTAGGACTTTTCTCTAAACTTTATTTCAGGACTCAAAGCAGATGGCGCAACCAGAGGAGAGTGAAAGTTATGTATTTTTAAATTCTATATCTTTTTTTCAAAAGCTGAGCTTCAAGACTCTAGCTGTCTGAGCAAGTCCCCATCTGTAGAGGAAAATCATTTCTCTGTGTTGTCACATGACTGAGGAAAGTGGCTTTAGGTGTCATGGTCATTTTTCATCTATGTGAGCATGTGTGGGAAGAAAGAGAGAGACACACTCACACAGACAGACAGACAGACACACACACACACACACACACACACACACACACACACACACACACACACAGACAAAGACAGAGACAGAGACCAAGACAGTATCTTTTATAGCCCAGACTGACCTCAAACTTGCTATATAGCTGAGTATGACCTTAACTGTAGTTGGACTCTTTCTTTTGGAGTTGCCAGACCCCAAATAATGACATGGAGACTTTTATTATCATTATCATTATCTATTATTATTATTGTTATTATTATTATTATTATTATTATTATTATTATTATTATTATTATAGCTTGGCCGAAGCTTAGGCTTGTTCCCAACTAGCTCTTATAACTTCAATTAACCTGCTTCTATTAATCTACATTCTGCCACATGGCTTTTTACCTCTCCTCCATTCTGTATGCCCAACTTTCTCTGTGTCTCACTGGCATCTCTCTCACACACATAGATTCATCCCTAGTTCTCCTTTCTGGCCGAAGCCCTTCCTATTCTCTCCTGCCTGGCTATTGGCCATTCTGCTCTTTACTAAACCAATCAGATGACTCATGCAGGCAAGGTAAAACAACAATACATCTTTACACAGCTTGCTCAAATGTCCCACAACACTTAACTTTTTAATCCTCCTGCCTCTGCCTCCTGAGTGCTGGGATTCCAGAAACCTCCACACCTACTTTATATGTGTTGGGGATGGAACCCACTGCTTCGTACATACTGCGCAAACATTCTGCTAGCTGAGCTTCATCCTCCATCCTTGATTTTTTAAATTTGGTTTGTGTTCACCATCAAAAAAGAAATGTCTTTTATCAGGACAATCAATGGTTTTGGTTTTCATTTCCATACATAAATACACATAATTTACATCTGTTAATGAACTGCTTGCAAGTTAATGCAGTGTGGTATCTTTGGGGCCCTTTTTTCCCCTCCCAACAAAAGCTCTGTGCCAGTGTGCTGAAAGTCTTTAGACCAAGGTCTTGTAGGACACACACCACTTTTTCTGCAAGGATGTCAAACTGGTAACACTTTGTGTTCTGTTGAATTGACTGGTTATTTATGAACTAACCAAATATTTTTTATGATTGTGATGGGGTGTGTGTGTGTGTGTGTGTGTGTGTGTGTGTGTGTGTGTGTATAGAAAGAACATGGATGTGTTTTATTTATTTTTTTATTTTATTCTTTTATTAGTCTTCACATGTCAATCCCTTCTCCCTCTCCCTCCCCTCCCCCCCAACATCCCACCTGCCCCTAGCCATTCCCCCCTCCACTCCCCAGGCAGGGTAAGATCCTCAAAAGGGGCTCCCCAAAGTCTACCACATCACATGGATGTGTTTTAATTTGGTTTCTTAGTCTTATTTTTTTATTGAACTATTTAAGCCTCAGTTATAAACCAAATAGACATTGAACTTAAACTTATTGGTGGGACTCACAGCAACCATCTTGCTATAGCGAAAAGAGACCCTGCCTGATGCACCTACCCTGGACAGTGGCTTCCATGGAAGCAGACAGCTTCCTCTGTGGCTGCCCTTATCACCCATCAGCTGTGACCCAGGGCATCTGGGTGAGCTTCCACTTTCCATCTCCATTCTGTCTTCAACAGCAACTGCTCACTGATGGACAAGGGTGGAATGCATTTCCTGTTGCCTCCTGACTCTCATGAGAAAGCAAAGCCTAAATAAAACACATGTTTACAGCTGATCTGTGTTCTGAGCAGGTGGCAGCCTGGTGCATGAGTGCAGCTCTGACCGACCTCACTCCTTGATTTAACTGCTGCTACGACAGCTGCAGGTGCCCATATGCAAATATATCAAGTGCACTGGGAAGTCCTTGTCCAGCTTGCAACCAAATCTTAGCTGGAGCTTCCCAGCAATGATCTGGGCTCTTAAACCTCTTTCTCTGCTTGCCTTTCTGACAGTTGTTTGTAGTTTGGTTTTTTTAATTTGTTGAATATTCCCTGGAGTGGGTACATGTTGCTGAGCTTAATTTTTTTGTTCATCATCCTTAATTGTGTCTACTTTCTACAAAAAAAAATATTATGGTGCCAGGAGGTGGTGGCACACGCCTTTAATCCCAGCATTCAGGAGACAGAGACAGGCAGATCAGTGTGAGTTTGAGGCCAGCCTGGTCTACAGAGCAAGTTCCAGGACAGTCAGGGCTATGCAAAGAAACCCTGGCTCAAAAAAACAAAACAAAACAAACCATGTCTTGTGTGGTAGTGTATGCCTACATGCCTCGAATCCATCACCCAGGAGAATGAAACATGAGGATTGAGGTTTCAAGACCAGCTTGGGCTTGGCTTTGTCTCAAAATCCAAAGGCTGCTATCTAACTCAGTGGTGAGCACTTACCTGCCATGCATAAAGTCCTAGGTTCAAGCCTCAGCACAGCAAGATAATAATGCCTAACTACACCTTCAGGAAGATGCGATTTTTGCTAAGAGATAAGAGAATGATCCGGTGCCATGTGAACCTCTGTGTCCAGACATGCTGGTGTCCCAGCTGTGTGAGCATCAACCAGCTGATACGGTCTCCATTCAGTTCCATGGCTTCGTACTAGTCCTCTAGGATAGGATGACAAACATTGCATAACTTGTAAGATGTTCAGAGACCTAACTTTTTAGAATTAAAATGATGAAGTCCATCATTCCTTAAAACAAAGGAAAGGAAATATTTCAGAGAATATTTGATATGTCCCATTGTTGCGGTAGAAGACAGAGGTTTGTCTTCGTTCAGGGAGAGCAGCTGATCTCAAAGCAGTCTAATTTTTAAAGAGAGCCAGTTTGTGAACAAATCTGGCTCTCTCCAGGTAAGTTCCTGGAGGAAGAAGCATGGCTGGGGATGAAGACAATGAATGACACACGCCATGGGGATAACACGGAAGCAAAGTCCCTTTCCTAGCACCACAGTTCTCAAAGCCTTCCTTCTTACTGGAAACCAGCTTAGCCGAGGATGACAGCTTCCTGGTTCTGTGTGGAGTAAAGATGGGCATCTGACTGTAGCCATGGTTCCCAGGGGACAGAGAGAGACTTCATTCCATATCAAGGCTAATGCACTTGGGCTCTCTAAAACAGCACTGCCTGGGACATTATTTCAGTGTAGTGATTGCTCAGCACACTGTTCTTTAGTTGTATTTGTACAGTCTCTCTCTGCTCACAAAAGCATCTTCCATACACTAAATGTTAGCTATTGAGTTGGTATCAATGCAACTTGTCTAAAACATACAAAGTTTTTACCATTTGTGCTCAAACTATCAAGGATTTAAATTGGGGGGACCAATGATTACTTTTCTTTGTCTTGTAAAATGTTAATGAGTCATCAAACTCCTAACTCTCCCCTTCTAAACACTCTGTTCACAGGGATACCATGGCTGAGGACTGCAGTTGCTACACTGGGAAGACTAGGGATAACCATGGCCTTTGAAATTGTTTATTTGGTAAATTCAGAGTTGTATCCGACAACATTACGGTAATTCTGGCATATATGGTGCCATTTCTACTAAGTAACTATAGCCAGATCTTTCCAAGGTTGTCACTCTATTAACCTGGGCTCAGTTCAGCCCCTTAAGACAATGGGCTTTGAGTGGTAGCTTCCGTTTGTTACCTTCCACGTTTGATGACAGAAGTATGTTCTGTGACAGCTGTGATTTGTGAAAGGGGCTGGCTTGGGAACAGAAGGCACCCTAGCGTGCCTGCTTAGATTGTAAGTTAGGTCTGTATTCTCTAGCAGCACCCTGTATTGAGGCTAAGCCTTTTTTGACATCATCACATGTCTTGTTTTGTGAGCAGGTGATATTCATGGCTCAGGTCTTGCCTGGTGTGCTATTCCTACAGGCCTACCTTGCAGGGTACCGAAGTAAGCTTTGAGTATCATGGGCTGGAAGGTTATGGAGCTGCTGATGGGGAAACATCTTTTCACCAATGCTGGAGACATCCCCTCATTAGCCTCACTACCAGACACAACAGAATGGGAGTGGCTTGTTTAGGGCACGGGGCAGTAGTAGCTGTCAGAGCTGTAAATACAGAAAGTATTGACACAATGTCTGTAATTTAGTATGCCTAAATATTTTTATTATTCTGGATTTGTTTTAAAAAAAAATTCATCTGAAAGTATGTTTCAACTTGCAGGAACTTTGGGGTTTCGCTCTGCTCAGGCTTGTGTGACTTTGGGGGGATCATAGCTCCATTTCTACTCTTTCGACTAGCAGCTGTGTGGCTAGAACTACCTCTGATCATCTTTGGTAAGACTTCACTTGTGTGGGGGTGGGTCCGAGCGTGTGGAGGGGTGGTGTCCCTGTGGATGTGGATGTAAAGGCGCATGTATGTACTTGTTTGCAGAGGCCAGAGGCCAACCTCTGGGGTTGTATCTCAGGAGGTATCCACCTTGTTTATCAAGACAAAGTCTCTCCTGGGACTCACTAATTGGACCAGGCTAACTAGCCAGTGAGTCTCAGGGACCCATTCACAACACTGGAATTACAAGTTCATGCTACCATGCAATCATGCTGCCATGCTATTATGCTGCCACGTTACCACCATTCTACCATGTTATCATGCTACCATGTTACCACCATGCTAACATGCTACTACTAAGCTACCACAATGCTAACATGTTATCATGCTACCATGCTACCATGCTATCATGCTACCATGTTACTATCATGCTACCATGTTATCATGCTACCATGCTACCACCATGCTAACATGCTACTACTATTCTGCCATTCTCAGCTTTTTCCTTTTCTTCTATAGCTGGAATTCAGGTCCTCATGCTTGCCTGGCAGATTTCTTACTGACTTGTGTATGTTCTAGTCTCAAATCCTCTCACTTATTCATGCCTTACAGAACCTGTATTGGTCACTGGGTTTGATGTTGATGACATCCATACCATCTTTTTATGACTGTTTGGGTTTTAAAGAGCCAATCTGATTATCATTACATTCAGAGTGCTAAATTGCTTAAAGTCACTTTACATTAACAGGTTGTGATAAACAGTGTTCGTGTCGGCTTCCTTTGTTAGGTTCTGAGTTAAGATCAAACACTGTGGAAGTATTCTATGATACTGGAAAATGAAAACATCATAAATTTCCAGAGACTAAATTTTAGCTTCATTGTCTTACATTTTAAGATGGGCCTAGAAGCTAATTGTATTTCCTAAAATATTCAGTATCTAAATTAGCTTTGATAATAAAAATGTTTTGTTAAAAAAAATAGTGGATACAAAATTACTTCTGCATGTACCCTGATCATCTCTGTCCCTCGTGCATCCTGTGTGGGGACACTGTAGACTGGAGGACCACTGCCCATCTTATTCTAGTGCCATCTTATTCTAGTGCAATGAGGTCCGGTTGGTGGCTTGAAAGGAGCACACAGGAGCACTGGCACTGTGGGGATGTACACAGCAAAGGGTCAGCTCTTTCTGTCAAGAGCCAGTCATTGATGTTTACCAGCACATCAGTTAGTCTGTGACAATGGCAAAGAAACAGGAGAGAATGCTTTTCCAGAAGTTCGGCTCTAAAGGATAGCAAAAGGAGGTGATACCCAGGGTTGGTATGGGGTCAGTAGCTCATGGAAGAAGAAGGTTAGTGTGTTTGAGCGCTTCTGACAACAGACTGAAGATGCCTGGAAAGTGCATTGAACACTGCAGTGAGGAATCCCCAAAGAAAGGCATAGAGGAGGGTTTGCCCTGAGGCAGAGAGTAACCTTTGAGTGACAGGGGGATCGCAGAAAGATAATAGGTGGGGGGGGGGCGCTCCTGCCCAGGTAGAGACTGACTCTGTCTTCCCAGTAAACAGCAGAGGCCTAGAGTGTCTACAACTTACCAGGTGCCCTGGAAGTACAGTCACATATGGCATGCAGCCTCACAGCCTACATGGCGGCACCCGTGAGGTGTGCCATGGCTAGTGATGTCATGGCTGCCGCAGTTTTCCTGTGTCCCCTCCAATCAATGGTAGCTACACAATGAAGTCACTACAGTTCTCAGTGTATGTCCCTACTGTCACAAGACACCTGACTGTCTGTCCACACCGAGAGCACAGGGACTGTGCACTGTGCTGAACTCAACAAGGTGATTATGGTAAGCAGAGGGATGTGGTGTTGGAGGCAGGTGAGGTCAGGGAGTGAACATAAGGGCTGGAAGGGTCAGTCTGTGTGTTCCTAGATGGTCATGTCTCTCTCCCTCTGGCAGGCATCCTGGCGTCTGTCTGTGGTGGCCTTGTGATGCTTTTGCCTGAAACCAAGGGCATCGCCTTGCCGGAGACAGTGGACGACGTTGAAAAGCTTGGCAGGTACTACATGAGATTCAACACTCCCTAAATGAAAGCCATGTTAAGACATGGGGCATTGATTATCCACCAGGGAATTGACGTTAAGTCTTCATTTAATTCAACCTTAAAACATTCAAAAGATTAAAAAGGTTAATGCAGAAGAACGTAGAGCTATGAAAAGAATATGGGCTATTTTTAAACGTGACTGAGAAGCATTTCCTAGTAAGGTGCTAAAACTCAGAGGTGATTTAAACCAGGGGCTGATGATGAGACAGTGTCAACGCCCAAATGTGCATCAGTGAGGAACTGATGGAAAGATGGTGATGCATCAGAGCATGGGCCACCCTCTGAGATAAAAGGGAGCGTCTGTCTTATTCAATGATACAGATGTTCCTCAAGATCCACCACAAAGGGAAATGCAAGCAATGGGTGGAGCCTCATTTCAAAAGAAGCTAGCAATGCTACATGGGAACATATTGGCAGATAAAGAGAGCCAGATTATCGATAGGAATAAAGTAAGATAAGTAATGATACATATGAATTAGATAAAAAACGTAAGACAATAGATAAACACTCAGTAAATACATAAGTTAGAAATAAAGATAAGAAAGACAGCAGATACACAGACAGTAAATAAGTAGATGGATGGATAAATAGACACAGACAGACAGATAGACAGACAACAGAAGAGAGAGATCAAGTTTTGGCAGGAATATCTGCATTGATTTTTTTGGCTGTTTGTTGATTAATTTCCATATGGTGACTCACAACCACCTGTAATTCAGTTTCACTAGATCCAGTGCCCCCTTCTGACTTCCTTAGGAACACACATACACTTCCAGACATGGAAACAAAACACTCATACATATAAAACAAAACTAAACTTTAGAGGGGGGGAGGGAGGAAAGGAGGGAAGGAGGGAGGAAGGGAGGGGGAGGAAGGAAGGGAGGAAGGAAGGAAGGGAAGGAAGAGAAACAAATAGAATTTATAGTTCTACAAATCAAGATGGCCCATATTATAAACTAAAACTACCTAACTCCCAGCTATTAAATTCTATTGGCATGCTTCCTTCTGAAACCAGACAGGATGGGCCTCTGTCCCTGTTGACAGCTTGGTTCCAAACCATGTCATTTAGTAGAAATGCTAAGGCACTCATGTGGACCATATGTTCAAAGTGAACCTAGAGCTCTTTCTCTTGCAGTGGGAAAGTTAGGATCAGTTGTACTTGATAAAACAAGCCATGCTGGTGAGGAGTAGCCAGAAGCCTATCTTCTAGTGGTCCTCAACCTTCCTAATGCTGGGATCCCTTAACACAGTTCCTCATGTTGTGGTGACCCCCCAACCCTAAAATTGTTTTCATTGCTACTTCAGAACTATAATTTTGCTATCATTATGAATCATAATGTAAATGACCGGATGCGCAGATGGTCTTTGGCAACCCCCGTGAAAGGGCAGTTCAACCCTCAAAGGGGTCACCACTCATGGGTTGAGAACCACTGTAATCTAATTTAATACATGACCTTTCATGAGGACTTCCCTTGTTCACCTTTGTCTTGTCAGCTCACAGTTGCATCAGTGTGGCAGGAAAAAGAAAACCCAGGTTTCCAGTTCTAATGTCTGAGGCCCCTACATTGCCTGGAGGACCGATGCTGTGTGGGTGCCATCCACAGCCTGGTGGGAATATGCCTTTGTGGTGAGCTTCAGCTCCTCTGAGTGGCGCCCTTCCAAGGAACCTTAAAGCCAGAGTATTTTGTATGGTATAGATGAGTAAGGTTTATCATGCTACCCAAGCTTCTGGGAACACATAATCTTTGACCTGTTAGCAAAGCGCCTGTAGGTACACAGATTCTGCATAGGCTTTCTTTTGTTGGGAGCAAGGCCTCTGACCCATTGAGTTGAGGAGAGATGAGAGAGCCTCAATTGGTTCTCAGGAAAGCCCCATCCAAGAGGCAGGATGAACAAACAAAGAACCAGAACGTGCACAGAAGCATGCTCAGCCAATCTGATCCAGACAGCAGAGAGCTGTGTTCTGAAGAGTCTGAGGACTGCTAGTCCTGCTTCCTCTGAGCATCAAACACATGCCTTCACAGAGCCAACATGTCAGGTGTGGTGTCCCTGAGTCCCATGTGGTCCCTGCCCACCCCACCCCCCATCCTCTGCAGCCTCTGAGCTCCCAGGCCCCAGGCTAGGCATAGTTCCCTAAATAATAACAGATCACCAATCTACAACACATTGTGAGAACCTGGCTGTATAATTATAAAGTCATATTGTAGTCCTGAGACCCCGATATTTTGTGCCCTCCTTCAGTGGGCCCTTGTAATCACAGACTCTTTCCTGAGGAAGAAAAAAACATGAATTATGATTTCTTGGGTCTTAGAATTTGAATAGTAAAAGAATAATGATGTCCCATTTGTGAATTCAGTTCCAATGGTGCCTCTGGCTGGGAGTCAAATGCATACACAGCCAGTTTTCATTCCAATTCAGCACTTTTGACTTGTGGGGGGGCAGATTTTATTTTCATTTAAAGGGAAAGTCAGTTGTGTCCACACTTTAAAAGAGTTGGCACCCGCTTTATAAGTGACTTGAGAGACTAATGAGGGATCGAACCTTTTTCTTTTTTAAATCAAGACTTTTCAAGTGTGAGGCTCAAATGCAAGCACAGTGTTCACGTTGTGTGCTGTTCTCAATATATTTTCAGACTTGGTATGTAGCTTAGGCTGAATTTGTGGGGTCTTTTTTGGGGGGGGTCTTTTTCTTTGCTTCAAACTTGTTGTGGACAGGCAACATTATCACTAAAGGGAAGCCTTCCCCATGTGGGAAGGAAAAAAGTATGTCTGTGGAGAATATGTGTGTTTCTAACACTACAGAACATGTGTGTGATGACTGTAAAACAGACATTGTGATCCTTGAAGCACATGGGAACCAAATGTGACTGTTCCGTCTCTCGACAGCCTTCTGGGTGTTCAATGCCCCACACCCTCTGCGCGCACAGGCGGCACTGTGCTGCCCATTCTGTTGCTGCTGTAGCACAGTTCCTGTTCACCTTACTATTGCCTTTGGATCGAATTTGGAGTTGATAGTTGTGTTCCATAACAATAAACAATTTTTAAACTGTTTTTAAAAATACCCATCCCTTCCTCCTCCCTCTGAAAATGTGTGTCACAATAAAACACTATCCCATGAAACAGTGTCTGTTGCTTACTGTCTCCAGACTTGGAAAAAAACAAAAACAAAAACATTGCTCTGCTATTGGTTTGCTATTCCTTTATGGGCTCCCAGCACTGTTCGTGCACTCGGATGTGACCCACAATAACGTCCAGACGCTCAGCTGGTCTTGTGTTAGATTTCCATCGCCTGTCTATGGCACAACTCAGCTTCACATCCCAGGATCTGGGCTAGAGCCCAGTTGACAGGAGCAGATTTCAGTCCCCAGAATAGAACTCATTCTCCTGACTCCTCATCCATGTGGCTGCTTTGAAAACAATCTCCTCAGTGCCAGAAGGGCAAACATTGAGAATGTGTGTCAAGGCTGTCATTAGCTGACGAGGTCAATATGCGAATGACTTACTGAGACCTTAGGTTCTCTTCTTGGTAACTCTACCATCTGCTTATTCCTACAGGCAGCTGACCCTTAGGAAGACAAACTAAGTCCCTGCAGTCAGCTGTTTTTAAATTGCTAGGGTGAATAAAAGAGTATGATATTTTCGAAGACTTCCCTTACAACCCCCCAAAACCAACTCAAAGCAAAGTAAGTAGAGTTTATTTTCAGCAAATGCCATAGCAGTGTTGTTCTATTATCACAAAGGCCAGAAGTCCACAGACAGAAAAAATTTTACCCACAACAATACAAAACAGGGGCTGAGGGTTGACAGGAGGCAGTGGTTCAGTGTAGTGTTTCTGTTTGATTACTGTCAATTATTCACAAGTCCCTCCCCGACCTTTCAGCTTCTAGGACGTTTTAATAAGTAGATGTTTTGCTCTGCTTCCTGCCCAATTAATTATCTTTCATTACTCCTTCTATCCAGTTAACAAACCGTGAAACACGAACATAGACACCGGGCTTATTGGGGCGAGCACAGCCAAGACCCCAAGAAGTGACTCCTTGTAAAATGTACTTGTCCTTCTCGAAGCAAACCAGAGGTCCTCCACTGTCACCCTAGATGAAGGAGGAAAGAGTCCACATGAGGATTGAGCAACAACTTCATATTATGGGATGCCATCTTTGTGTTATCTTGTTTCCTCTGCCAGCCCCAGGTTGTCAAGTCCTCTTGGACTGAAATTCCAAGAGGTAGAGATGGGTCAACCCAAAACCATATCGGCCTCTTTCCTTACCTGGCAGCTGTCGATGCCACCAGCCAAATTTCCGGCACAAAGCTCCGTGGATCTGACTCTGCCATTGAGGTACTCGTAGCGGTTGCAAACCTTGTTTTCGATAACAGGCAGCTGGGCCTCCTTGAGAAGGCCAGCACCGAAAGTCCCTGTAATGAACATTAAAGACATGGTTAAAAATCCATATAGGATCTCCAGAAAACTTCCAGAATGACAGTGGCGGTTATAGAACTCTTGTTCCTGTGGTTGGGTAGCATGAGGAAGCACCGCTAATACCTTTTAGCCCTTTAAGTTGTAAACATTATACAAGATGTTCCATTCCCAAGACCTGCTGCAGCATTCCCAGCTTCTTCGTGGTGTTTGGGGCCTTGCTATTTGTCCACATTTTATTTCCAGTTTAAAATAAACAAACAAAAAAAAACCAAATACCTTTAATATAGAGAGCTTGAAAAATGCATTTGCTTCTATTGTTATGCATTTTTCAGGCTCTCTACACTTTATCACCTGTATAATATTTCTCCTCTTCAAATCCTGCTCTGCCTCCTCATTATAGCATAAGGATGTGGGGGGTAGGCCAGAGAACAACGTCAGGTGTCATTCCTCAGGCACTGTCCACTTTCCTTTGGAGACAGGGTCTCATTCTGGCCTAGAACTCACCGTGCAGGCTAGCCTGACTGACCAACAAACCCTAGGGATTGTCCCTGTCCTCACCTCCCCAGCACTGGGATTACAGTGTGAGCCACCATTCCTAGATTATTTTGCATTGGCTCTGGGAATCAAATGCTGTTTTCCAGATGGACATTCCTGAAACTTCTCCATGTTTTCATAGATAATCCCATTTTCCTGCTGGTTAAGCCCCCTTACAAGGTAAACACTTCACCAATTGAGTTATCTCTTTGGCTCCATACTTGTACACACATGCGTGCCTGCATGCATGCGTGCATGCATGCATGCGTGCGTGCGTGCGTGCGTGCGTGCGTGCATGTGTTGTATATATGTGGCTGAGGAAATGTGTGTACATGTGTGGTGTGTGTATATGTTTGTGGGGTGTGTGTGTGTGTGTGTGTGTGTGTGTGTGTGTGTGTGTGTGTAGACCAGGGCTCAATCTCGGGTGTCATTCCTTGGAATGTTATACACCTTACATGTTTTTTGAGATAGGGTCTCTCACTGGCCTAGAAACAGCTCAATAGGCTATTCTGGATGGCCTGCAGTGAGTCTGGGAATCCAGGGGTTACAAATACATACCACCAGGTCTGTATTTATGGTTCTGGGGATCCAAATCAGGTCTTCATGCTGGCCTGGCAAACACTTTACCAAATGAAACATCTCCCCAGCCCCAAGGCCATTTTAGCAATGCTACAGTCTCCCTGAGAGCTTACTAGAGAGTGGTTGCTTAATGACTATGGGATTTCCTTTTTCCATGAGGGAAATATTCTGGAAACATGATGATGGTTGCACAACATTGTAAATGAACTACGGGCATTTCAAACAGTCCATTTTATGTTTTGCATATTTATTGTCTCCACCAACCATAAAAAATAACTAACTTTTACTAAGAATTAACTGATCCAGGAAGAAACTGGTGGCATGGTGTAATTTCATTTAATTCCTGAACTAGTTCTAGGAACTAGGTACTCCTATGATTCTTGATAGCGTTTAAGGGAATGAGACTTGATGTAGTCATAGTGTTTACCTGGAACTTGGGGCTATGAGGTCAGTACCCATGTACTTCTTGACCAGGCTCCCTGTCCCCTTCACCCTCCCCCCACAAAGGCTTGACATCTCCACTCCTTCAGTTTATTTTCACTGTATGATATTCTCTTAAGTCTCAGTCTCAGTTCTCAGATATGATATACACATATGTATGGTCAAATTATATTCTGGACTGCTATGACAGTAAAATCCCACTAAAAACAACAGTCTTTAACAACCTTATGAGTGTCCACATTGCACTATCATTAAAATATTGTAACGTTTAAAAAATGAGCTAATGTAGTAGGTGTAAATCATTGTAACTCATTCTCTAATGTGTGTTTCTTTGTCAATTAGGGGAAGAGGATGTTCATCCCCTTGTTTTATGACTCATATTTCTTCTTTGTATGAGAAGCTGTGGCTTTTGTGTGCCAGACTGACCCACCAGAGGTGCCATTGTCCCAGGACTTCTCAGTGTTTCTTCTCAGTCATTCTGCACAGGACCCAGCTTTCCGGTTTGCAAGCCCAGCTTTCCTTAGGGTTTTGTAGCATACCTTTGCTTTGCTAGCATGGAACAGCCAAGAAATGATGGACAGTCCC